ATGATGCTAACTTTGGCATAGAACCAGATAATTGGCAAAATCTTAAAGGGAACGAATGCGCCGTTCATGTTTGGCAAGGTGATTACTCGAAACAACCTTAGGAAATTGTATATCTGGAAGAGTCTGAAAGCAGATAAAATGGAAATATAAGACACTCACACACACGCACAGAGCCTGGGTGCTTCGGCGTGGTGTAATGGTTAACAAACTTGTCTCGCTAAAACAGTTACGACTGAATTGTGAATTCGATCCTTAATAGGCGCCCCACACTTTCGGCCTTGTGCCACATCTAAGCTAAGCTTAGAAAATCAACATATAAAAAGTTTTAATAGAGACGACTGAATTAAGCTTGTTTTATTCATTTTTTCCTCCATTCGTACAAGTATTTTCTTTACTGGAGATACCGGGTGTAATTGCGAAATTGTTCAATTGTTAGATTAAGTTTTGAAAGGTTGTGTCTTAGAAATAATTTAAAAATTATCTCACTGGAATTCGTCGAAGCTTTTTTCACGCTATTGGATTCTACTTTGTGCAATAAGATGGGGAATTACTTTCCAAGCTTAACAGAAGAATCTGATGAAATCGATCGTAAATGAATATGACATGTTCATCAGTAATTAATCATAGGTAATGACTGCAAGTTCATGAAGGATTGAAATAAAGTTCAAAATATATATATATATATATATATGTGTACATATATATGTATATATACATATATATATATATATGTACATGTATATATATATATATATATGTATATATATATATATATATATATATGTATATATATGTGTATATATATATATATATATGTATATATATGTATATATATGTGTATATATATATATATATATATGTATATATATATGTATATATGTGTATGTTTATATATATATATATATGTATATATATATATATATGTATGTTTATATATGTATATATATGTATAAATATGTATATAAATATGTATGTATATATATATATGTATAAATATGTATGTATATATATATATATATAAATATGTATGTATATATATATATGTATAAATATGTATGTATATATATATATGTATAAATATGTATGTATATATATATATATGTATAAATATGTATGTATATATATATGTATAAATATGTATATATATATGTATATATATATATATGTATAAATATGTATGTATGTATATATATGTATAAATATGTATATATATATATATATATATATATATATATATATATATATATATATATATATATATATGCATATATATATGCATATATATATGTGTATAAATATTCTATATATGTATATATATATATGTGTATATATATATATATATATATATATATATATATATATATACATTATATGTTAGATATATATATTATATATATATATTATATATTATATTATATAAATATATATATATATATATATATATATATATATATATATATATATATATATATATATATATATATATATATGAGTAGATGACCTGTTTTACTTATTTATTAAACAATTGATTTATTTGCATCTACCGGCCTGAATATTTGAGATATTGCGAGAATCAGAAAGATATGTGTGTAAAAGTATTATACGGATTTTGATGGATCAGGAATTCCTGCGTGGCCGATTTGATCTAAGGCACGTCATAACTTACTAGTGTTTTTGCTAGGGGATGCAGGTTCGAATCCTGCCGGGGGGGATGCTAACAAGAATTCTCGAATATTCCGAGCGAGAAATGTAAATTAATAAATATACAGTTTATTAAATAGATAAAATCAAAGCATCTACTCAAATATGAGCATCCATTTAAAACAACTTTTTAAAATATATATATATATATATATATATATATATATAGCACAAAATACGACAAACATTAGAATATTCTTTTTCTTGTATGAGAATTTATTTAGAGTCCTTTATTTAATCATACACATTTATGAGGTACTACCCGTGATCTTCTGGGTTACTAACCCCTTCAGATTCTAAAACATTTAAGTTAATTTCGTCATTCCATTGAAATGAAAGTTAATTTTATTATGATTCAGTTAAATATTTCAATTCCTTCGTGTCATCATTGGTCTGGATTAAAAGTTCATGTTTAACGTTTTACTGATTGTTTACAGCATTTCTTAGAAATAGAAACTCCGGGATAAAATTGAACTTTAAATCAGATTAATTAAAAAATATTCTTTAATATGCAAAAAAATATTTTTAAAAAAAAAATATTTTCAAGTGAATATGATATTCACTTGAAAATATTTTTTTTTTAAATATGCCAAAAAGTACTTTTTTAAATATTTAAAATATTGTTTATTTAAAGAAAGCTAGAATGTAAATAATTAATCTATACACAACTGGGTGAAACAGCAAAGCGGGATCTCTTTGTGTCTGTCTTTACATTAAAAATATTTTAATTAAAAAAAATCGTCTGTTTGAAGAATTTTAAAATAAAATACTTACTGTATAAACAACTCATATTTTTTAAATCTTATTCACTTAAATCAGATTAACTTATATCATTATGCACCGGACGGCCGACACACCACGCAAGCAAGTATGCAATCACAGAGAGGTGGAAAGTGACAGGGGGAGAAGGAGAGAGGTGTAAAGAAACTTTAATCATTATGCTCCCGACGGAGGACGCACGCAAGCACGCACGCAATCACAGACTTTTAGTATTATATATAGATAGATTCATCATTCGAAGTCATATTTACGTTAGCAACGTATTCAAGGGACTATTCTTTCCAAGCAGCAACTCTTTACGAACGAGATTATTTAGAGTTATAAAATACTCGTGTATATTCGATAAAGCCTCTTGTGTTAAGAAAAATTATAACAAGTACGCATACTGTAGGAAAGAAATCTCGTTAACTTTTCTTTTTTTTTTTTTTTTTTGCTTCATTTCGTTCTCTTTCAGTCGAATTGGCATAAAAGTGCGCTAAAGAATTGACTATCGTTACATCACAGTAAAATGTCAAGTGTGCTACGCGTATCATGTAATCCAGTACTACTTACAACCTGGTCGAGTCATCAGAGACTGAATCAATTCCCACAATGTAGGAATGATAACGGTTGACCCTGGACTTGAAGAAGTTAGGATTGTAGTGGCCAGGAAAGCATACTTCCAGGAGCCTGTAACAGTTCTGGAGAAGCTGTTTGAATGGAAATTATTCCTTATCTAAGGAACACTAAGGTAATGAGGATGGGTTTTCCACAGTGAACGCATGTCGGGTTCAAGCTGTGGAGGTTTGAGCTTTTCGGCCTAAGGAACATAAATTGTTTGAACCTCTGTCAGAGTAATAGTGATAGACTAGTATGAGGCTAGTAACGCTTCGTCTGTGGGATAAGGGCTGTAGTATAGAAAATAATTCATCACCCACATGGCTGTGTAAGTGTTATACATGACGTACCTATTCTATTATTAATAGACTCTCCCACACATAATAAGTAGTAGTAGTAGTAGTGGTCGCCAGTTGGGCTCAGTGGTGTTGAGCGAGTCAGTCGATATCGGACATTGACGTACCAACCATCACAACTAGATTGCTGCGTCATTAACTCTTATTTCAAGTTCCTAACGTTTTGTACGTCGAACCTAATTTAGTACGACTTATTGAAATACAAGCCTCCACTGTGAAAACTACTCTACAACAGTAAGCCCCTTTGAACTCTGCTGAGGCTGGACAGTTAAGAATAGGTAGCACTAGCTCAGATATGTAAGCAATGATCAATTCTTTGTATGATCTGACTCTAAAAGCAAGATATATGTTTGGTTTTTGTTTTTCAATTGGTTATTTAATTCCGTCAAGATTTTCATTGATGGTATTTTTTTTCTTTCAAAAATGTATTACTGGTAATATTTTTTTTTTAAAAATGTATTGCTGGTAATAATATATTGCTGGTAATAATATTTCTTCAAAAATTTATCGCTGGTAATAATTTTTTACCAAGTATTTCTGATATTAAAATCTGTTTTTACACTTTCATAGTGTTTTGACCCGAATTTGGGGGTTAACTATTTGCCCATATCTGGGACCCTAACAGGTGCTACCACCGCGGGTCAGGGTGGACCTGGGAACACCAGCAATTAAGAGGTGGTTCCACGCTCCTCAAAACCTCCTGATCAAAGGCCTATTTTTATACTTTCATAGCGTTTGACCCATTTTGTGGGGTGGGGAGTAACTATTTACTATATAGCTGGGGTCCTGACAAGTGCTACCACCCCGGACCAGGGTGTACCTGGGAACACCAGCTTTTCAAAACCTCCTGATCAGAGGCCTTGCTGTTGGATGTAGCTTATTGTCTTCCCCAGGACGCGGATGTAGTCTATCGGTTTCCCCAGGACGCGGATGTAGTTTTTCGTCTTACCCAGAACGAGGATGTAATTTATCGTCTTACCCAGGACGCGGATGTAGTTTATCGTCTTACCCAGAACGGGGACGTAGTTTATCGTCTTACCCAGGACGCGGATGTAGTTTATCGTCTTACCCAGGACGGGGACGTAGTTTATCGTCTTACCCAGGACGCGGATGTAGTTTATCGTCTTACCCAGGACAGGGATGTAGTTTATCGTCTTACCCAGGACGGAGACGTAGTTTATCGTCTTACCCAGGACGCGGATGTAGTTTATCGTCTTACCCAGGACGCGGATGTAGTTTATCGTCTTACCCAGGATGCGGATGTAGTTTATCGTCTTACCCAGGACGCGGATGTAGTTTATCGTCATACCCAAGGAAGGTATAAGAGAGTTACTTAAAAGAATATCAAACTATCGGTAAATCCATTTGAAAGGCCAATGTGATTAGTTATCACAAACGAAACTAGGGGAAATGAAAGTAATTTCAAACCGAGGCAAAAATCAACCTGTTCTGTTGTAAATGAGGAAGGTCTCCGAGTCACTGGTAATTGCTGATTAGAGAACAATTAACCTTTTTGTTTCATTTTCACTTGCTTCTTTTTTTTTTTTTTTTTTTTTTTCGTTTTGCATGTCTTTTATTCTGCAAGTTCTTTTTCTTTACTCTCTTTCTCTTCTCTTTACTTCACTCACAAGCTTTCTGCTTTCTTCCTCACCTTTTCTTCCCTCTCTTTCTCTCCCACTGCATCTCCTTTCCTCACCCTTTCTTCTCTCTCTTTCTCGCCCACTCCCTGCTTTCTTCCTCGCCCTTTTTTTCCCATTCTCTGATTTCTTCCTCACGCTTTTCCTCTCACCCCCTCTGCTTTCATTCTCGCCATTTTTCTCACGCACTCTCATCAACTTCTCCTTTCACTCTCTTTCTCTGCTTTTCCTCTACCCATTCTTTTTTCTGTATGTCTGTCTGTCTGTCTGTCTCTCTCTCTCTCTCTCTCTCTCTCTCTCCCTCTTTGTGCTTTCTTTTTCACCTTTTCTTTTTTCAATCTGCTTTTTTTCCAGGGCCTTTCTTCTTATAACTTCTCTGTCTTTCACATTACATTCACCGTCACCTTTTCTTCTCACTCCCTGTGCTTACTTCCTCACTTTTTCTCACTTACTCTCTCTATTTATTCAGCTTTTCTTCACTTTCTCTCTCACACTCTCTTCCTGCTTTCTTCTTCACCTTTTCTCCTTACTCTGTCTGCTTTCTCCTTTCCTTTTCTACTCATTCTATTTACATTTTTACTCACCATTCCTTCTCTCTCTCTCTCTCTCTCTCTCTCTCTGCTTTCTTCTTCACCTTTTCTTTTTACTCTGCTTTCTTTTTCGCCTTTTCTTCTTTCCCTCACACCCTCTCTCTTTCTCTCTCTCTCTCCCTCTGCATTCTTTCATTATTCTTCTCACTCACATTGCTGTCTTCTTCACCTTTTTTTTCTTGCTCTCTGCTATCTTCTCCATCTTTTCCTCTCTTTTCCCCTACTTCCGTTCCCACCTTTTCTCTCTTTTTTTTTCTGTAATCAGGCTCATTAGTAATTAACAACTGTACATTAAATCATTATTTATCTCATACGTTGTTCCTTTTTCTTTCTTTTTTTTTTGTTTTCTGTAGTTGTTTTTTTTTTTTTTTACCAATTCTTTCTTTTCGGTGTCAAAAGCCGATAAGATTGCCAATGAAATTGGATTTGCTGTGTTCGTTCAGGCAAAAATAGTGAAACTTTTGCGAAAGAAGGTAACATGCAATTGGATGTTTTACATCTTTCGGCGTGAAGCGAGATAATTTGTTCACGTTTTCAATCCGTTCTTAAATGCCTTTATATCGCTAGGCACATACCTTGTCAGGTACAGGTCGTAATTTAAAGGACACAGAATGTATCTTAAGTAGAAAACGGGTATTTCGCATTTGACAACATTCGACTGTTGCTCGATTTCACGCGAAACTGATTTTACTTGAAGTTCAGTAAAACACGTGGCTTTCATTTATCCCAACCTAAAGGGCTGGACTAATTTTGTACCCTGGTCCCACGTACGCATGGGACTCCACTTCACGTTAAAAGGCCACATTTTGAACGAAGTGGACGTCCGAATAAATATCATTCTATCACTCTATTAAATCTAATTAATTCTAGTAATTTTCCAAGCGTAGTTTAGATGTGGTACAAGACCGAAAATATGGAGCACCTAGTGAGAATCGAACTCACTATTCAATCGTTAATATTCTAGTGAAACAAGCTTCTTAACTGTTACTCCGCCTCGTGGTGCCCAATTCTAATTAATTCTATATCTGACTTGTTGAAAAGTGTTCGGCCAAACCCGATTCTGAAAATGCAACCGACTAAACACCCGAAGTCTTTTCTGTCCCTTCTTACATCATCATCATCAGTCCCAAAATGGGGTGTGGTCGTAGCGTAACTGCGCAGCTGAAAACTTGACCAGTTGCCTCCTGTCTGGGCTGAAAGACGGATAGGCATTCATTCATGCGTAATGTGTCTTGAGCAAAGTAGACATGGTGGGGACCATCTCTCTTCAGCTCAAAACAGAGCCGATATCCTAAAAGCTTGATGGCTCGCCTTAGTCACAAGCACAGAACCGTTGAATTCAGTCAAGGAAGCCGTATCAATATCGCACTGGTGGTGATATATACACGGTGCGATGGATAAATTGTCGTCTAAATTACGCAAAAATGAAAATAACACTGACATCTCATTTTAACATGTATGATTACCAATATTACACAAAAATATCTTGAAATACTAAAGTGTAAATTTATTCAATAAAATCGCCATTGTCTTCAACCACGGCATCCAAAAGACTTTGAAATCTTCTGCATCTCTTCTGGACGGTCTCCTTGTTTAAGCTGCTGAATGATCCATAATCTTCGCCTTCAGTTCATCTTTGGCATTATAAGATTTGTTGGTCTCACGCTCAACTACGCCCCATGCATAACAATCTAAGGGGGTTGCGGTCTGGGGAGTTATTTGCCCATTTGTCGTTCTTTTTTTCGAAGAGGAAATAAAGATACAGGGTGCGACGGATAAATTGTCGTCTAAATTGCGCAAAAATGAAAATAACACTGACATCTCATCACAGATATATTT